ATGGTCAGCATACCCTCGTCTTCGCATGTATCCGATTGCACAATAATGCAAATTTGTATGGCTTGCGCTACATTTATGTGACGCCTGTTTTCAACACAGGTATGCATTTCGTAAGGTGAGATGCGCCGGCCGGCCGATACTCGCAGAGCTTTGTGCAGCATAGATAGATTAGACAAATAATGCAAACGTCATGTCATGTAAAACCGGTTCTTGCTCCAGCGTCAGTACTCAAATGGCTTGACCTGACACGCTCGGCGTTACCACCGCGGCAAAAGCAATGCAGGAAAACGGCTACCAGCCGGCTTTTCCAGGCCACCCGACATTTTTTATCCAGCCAGTGCAATCAATGCCGGCCAATTTGGCGCGGCGACGGCGCGTCCGCGGTCGAGTTGAGAACCACTCTCGGGGAGGTCATAGGCGTCGCGGCCCCGCGAGAGCCAGAATTCCCGTGCAAGGCCCACCGCGTGCCAGCCAAGGACAGCTGCCAGCATGCAGTGTGCAGCCGCATAAAGGCAGGCCAGTGCACCCGGCCTCTAGCAACAGTGGCTCGGCCTCTCCGCCACGCCTCCCCGGGTCGGCTCGCCTGCGAGGGAGATTTCTCCCGGAGGAGCCGGCCGGGTCAATGCTTGTTTTGTTGCCGCCAACCGGGCGCTCGCTGTGGGTCAAATGTAGGATTGTGATGTTATGTTGTGATCCAGAGGCCGAACGGCCTGGGTCCCGCGGAGCCCCGTCGACCTCGGCCAGGGTCGGCAGCGGCGGTAGCGGTCCGCACACAGGCGGACACGCCGACGGTGAGGTCACGTGACCGGACGACAGCAGGCTGGTGGGCACCACGTGGACATCGCCGTCACGAAATTCGGCCACGCCGTGGGTTCGTTTCAACGAGCTACGAACGGTCAAAGTCTAAGTCGGAGACCGTAATCAGACATGGTCCCAGATCACGAAAACATATCCCAGCAGCGAATGCGAAAATGTTGGGTTCCGCGTGCGGAGACAAGTTTTACGTAAAAACATTTCTGAATTGTTTTCTACAGTCGTAGAACTGTGACACAGCTTCGCCGAAGTATCTTTTCGGAACATGGGGGTTTTCACGGTTTTGCCGAAATCTTTTTCGGCATGTATTTTCCGTGGCACCTTTCCTGACAATTTCTCTGACATTTCCGTAAATGTTCTACTTCCGAGGCATCGTTCATGACGTTGGATGCATTCTCCAACGCATGAAGGATCCTTGAGATGTTGGGTCACTCAGTGGTGTTGTCAAATTATCCTTTAGGATAAGGGCCGCCTTCTCACTGTTGAGAGGCACCCTGCGTGATATGGGATCGTTGCTTGGGATCCAGGAACGTTGCCCGGTCATACACGCTGCAGCGGATGATTGTGTGACCGCGAAGGTCATGGTGGCTTCGGTCCGGCACCAGGGACTCGAGCGCTGGCAGTTTTGCGAAGGCATGCCGGCGCAGTACGTCTGGCACACGTCAATGGAGAGGCTCGGGCGGCTGACAGCAGCTTCCTGGAAGTATTTTTGCACCGCTGCGGCTCGGATACCCTCAATGGCCTGACTAGCACAACTGGCCTAAAATTGACGCGATCGAGGGTGTTAAGTTCAGTTCATGCATTTGCGACCCATGCCCCGTGTCGGTGTCTTCATCTCTGGTTCGTTGTTTGGATTTTACTTGCGCAGCATGTAACTTTGACTCGACCTACACAGTAACGACGTGTTAGTCTTTGTGCTTTCGATTAAAGGATGCATCAGCAGGATATCATGGTCAGGTTAAGCATAAGATAGGATATGAGAGTTGCTAACTGCCACGATGCAGGCGATGTCAAAGCTAGACATCTCAACTAAACATTCTTGGAAACCGATACCAATGGGCTTCATCAATGCTTTGGAAAAACCATCTCATGCGTATTTAACGGGCTGGGTCCGCTGCTGTAACATTCGCACAGTAGCTCCCGGGTAACTTTCAGGCAATGTTGCCTAACAACAACGTAAATTTTCTGGCTGATTTCTGTCAGGATTGCCAGTTTTAATCGAAACACCGATGCATTCGCGATAATTCTTTATCCTCGCAGTTGTGGCTAATTTTCCCGAGAACGCAAATATTTATGATAGGTATTGGCAAAAATAAACGGGACCGAACGCTTGTGTGACTTTCATGACACCATATCTCACGGTTTATACTACGGCGTCCTGTACTCGAGATGGCATTTGAAGAAGGTGACATTGGCCGTTCTCTGGTCGATTTCAAGCGCACCCAATGGCGGATAGGATAAATACCCGATTGTGAATTGCAGCTGTTGCATTGCTTACACTGTGCATTCGATCTCACACCTTTGTCTGCTTTGGTCGTTGGTACGTAACACGAATCCTAAAAGACACACTACAGCGGTTGCGCTCATGGTTTTGGCACATTGCCGCGTCTTCGGCTGACAGAGCGACCCACACTTCTACGGGGGCTGTAGGACAAAAAAGTCAAACGACAATAAGTCGAAGAACAAAAAGTATAATGGCAACAGGTCAAACGACAAGAAGTCACGCCGGATGAAATTCGGGTGCGGGAATTCAAAGGCAAAACGCAATAGGACAGAAAGCCAAATGACAAAGAATCAAATGACAAAAGTCAAAGACTCAAAAAGTAAAAGGGAATGGAAGTCAAATGGATAAAAACAGAACAACCTATCAATAAGATAAACGGTTGTTCTGCCCAGAAGCCCTAGGCTTGCATAGGGTCCACAAACACAATAAGAGCCGATGGTCAGCTGCTCACCAAAGGGGGGGGGGGCGGTCAAGGGAAGTAAAGCTCTTCCTGGGAGGGGAAGCTCTCGCCCCCTTCCTGCTGCTGTCAGGCCGAGAGTCCTGACTCTGTTGTCCTTTAAAATTATTGGCTGTGAACGTGTTGTCCGATCACTCTGCGCCAGTGCGATGCTTCTTTTCATACCAGGTCAGCAGCGTTCTTTTGATGCGCCGCCGATTCGTCGGGATTTGGACCCCCTTTGAATTGTGTTGTTGTTTCCTAAAAACGATTTGAAGATTGCACCCTTTCAGCCGTATCCGATGGCTTAGGTGGATCGAGAGAATTAGTGAAATTACAATGGTCCAAGGAAGACCTGCTTGTTTAAACTGTTTGCAGGCGAACTATACTAGTCTATACGGCACAACATTTGAGGTTGAGCCTTCTGTGCTGAAAGCTCAGTGAAGCTTTGGCACGTGCCTGCATAAATGTTAGCTTGAAGAGAGCTTGGCCAAGCCGACCCACCCAAACGTAAAGCTTGTTTACAGTTTAAGCGAGACCTTGTAGACTGTGCTCTCGCCCGTGTGGTCTGTGCTCTCGCCCGTGTGGACTGTGCTCTCGCCCGTGTGGTCTGTGCTCTCGCCCTTTGTGGACCGTGCTCTCGCCCTTGCGGACTGTACTCTCGCTCGCAGCAGCCTTTGCAATAAGCCCTAGACCTTTATCTGCAATTCTTACGTTGACTGACTCGTGGTTCGGCTGGTTTTAACCCATCTGTGCGCAGTATCTATGCGTTTTAAATGAAAGTAATGCCAGCAGTTTCTATGTGTTTGGATCACTAGCAACAGCAACAAATGCTAATTGACTTCCACTGCAAGCTGATCTGGTTCGTGCAGTACAACGAGAAGTGCTTGCATCAAAAGGATTAGCGTTGCAACCTGGTTGCATCAGCATGACAGCTGTGACATTGGTAGCTAGTCGACAAGTCAAAGTCGAAAGAACAGGTGGTTGATATGCGGAAGAGATTGGGGGGATGCCACCCTCATACTTCTCAGTAATCGTTATCGAGCGTTATTTAAAATCGCCGTTCTATCCGGAGCGCTTTGGCATACACAATATGTTTACATTTTCTATTATATTTCACATTGCGAGCTCGCCTTCTTTTCTAAATTTCGCTTTCTGCTACGTTAATTCAACTTGTACGTATGCGCCTGTCAACACTGCAACGAACAGTTAACCCGGGCATGATGCAATACATTGTCGTCCGTTGTTTATCAAATCTGATCTTTACAAATGTTTAGGCACGTTTGCATAAATGTTTACGACATCTGAGTCACGGCCACGGGTTAGGATTCTCGCGTCGCGGAATATTTGCGACGTTGAGTTTAGCCCAATGCTGTTCACATCTTTGAAGCCTTACTGTTGTGATAATATGGTATTCCTCCGATGTAGCGAACATCCAGATATCACACCTTATAACTGAAGTGCGCCTTGTTATTTTAATGGTGTCAGCAAGGTACCTCTATGCATCTTCGAGCACCGCGCTTACCATACTTGACTGACTTCGTAGCTCGCATCTCCTGCTCACCGGCGGGTGGCGAACCAAACCTGAAATGGCGCCGAAGTGGAATTTCACTTCGCGTCATGCATGCACGTTTCACTGATTACTTTCCACGTGCCGTTCGCCAGATGGTTTGCAGAAGACCTGTTTTGCTGGCACGGGTCAGTGCATGCCACGAGGATGTAACCTTTTGGGTGTTGACGTAAGTGGCGTCGGTCCGAATGCGCCCAACGGTTCTCATCTCTTTCCGCGTGCTTTGCCACCGCGACCTGTGGCACGGACCGAGTTCTGACGTCAGCCGTGACCTCGCACCTCGATCAGCGGCCTGCTCATAACCCCTGACCCGGCACTGTTCCCCACGGGCCAATGTGGGTCTCCGGCGCCGGATATCCTGGAGTTCGCGTGGGTAACATCGCATTCTAAAACACTCGTTTCAGCTTGATAGCGACATTTACGGATTGCACGCGGCTGGGTTCGGTGGCAGGCCGGTTAACCTACGATTTTGTTTGTAATCTCATCATTCGACGTGACTTGAGACTTCAGTCTCCTAGAATGATTGTGAAACTGAGCACAGTGCCACTGGACACTTTGACCGCCGTCTTGGAAAAGACCTGTGGTCCAAACAGCTCTCTGTTCGATCAGGATGTTGGGTGACGGGCGCGAGCACCTGTCGTGACCTCTGACCTCCAAACCGTGCATATTTGCTGCAGGGTGGTCTGGTGACCTGCGATCGGGAGCACTGCCCCATGACCGAGACGTGTCATCTGGTCATGCTGGGACAGAAGATCAAGCCTGACTCCTGCTGCGAACGCTGTAAAGGCAAGTAGGGCCGTTAAGGCAATCACGTTTCTCTGGGGCCAGAGATATTATGTTTGGCTTACATGTGTCAAATCCCGCATTGCTTTATGATCCATGTTTGCATCAATGTGAGCTGCCTCACACATTTCACTGAAGATAACCTTGCCATATAGTGGTTTGCCTTCGTTTGGTTGAGTTTAAAAGGCATGTCAGGCGGGCTCCATAAAAGGGCATAATTTTCCAACGCCATTAGGTTTCAGCCGTAAATCAAGAGCTGCTCACGGAAATTGTATTTTACGGCTGATACGGGGTGATTAAGAAATATTCGTAAATGCCTGGCTTATCTAGAGCATTTTACCTGACTCAAGCATTTTGTCAGGCGCCACTGCTCATGAACGCGAACTGAGACGAATGTGTTTAGTTCACGTCAATATTGCTTAGATTGCACTTGCATTCAGAATAAACAATTAAGGACGGGCCTGACCCTGTTTGTGTATCTACGAGGTGCAGTTGCATGTTTATGTCAGTCATTGAATGAAAAAATGCAACACCAGTAAAACACAGCAAGCGGAATTTACAACGGTATGAATGAAATACAATTGAGAAGGTGAATAAGCATCTTGATTAAGCCCTCCTTATCACTCATGTTAAGGAGATGCCAGTGATATTCAACCTTAAGTCAGACTTGGGTTTCATTCTCTGTGGCTTCTGCACCTCTCTGTCCTCTACCAAGAAAGCGCCATCTCCTCCACCCCACGTTCGCCGTCATCTTCCCGCCCCTCGGTCACGCGGGAAGACTCCAGGGAATCCCGCGTCTTGCGCGTCGCAGCTTCCTCGGTACACCGGATGCCACCAATCGGTGCGCCGCATTCCGGACTAGCTGCTCTGTCGGCCACTCTGCAGGTCGGAACAGAGCGTGGCGAGCCGCGTCCGCGGCCCGGCCCGGGTCACCACAGGTCAGCGGAGGTCACCAGGGGTTCGCGGAGGCCTGATACCTGTCCGCCACTTTACGCTGGCTCGCTAATTGCGGTGCAGGATCTCGGGGACGACCAGACCGTCCGGCGACGGCCCGTGAGGGTGCCGCGGCCGGCCGGCCGACGTTGACCCCGTGACCCGGCGGGCTGGCCTTGCCATTACCGACGGCGGCGGACGCCACAGGAATGGCCGCGATCGGCGCCGCTGCCGCGCCTCGAGTAACGAGCAGCCCCGCCGGGCGCTGGCCGCTGCCGGCCGCCGGCCGCATATAGCTGTCAGCACAGCTGTCTAACGACTTCCGCAACATCTTACTTTTCAATCTTGCGAATTTATGTATGGTTTAATTACTCTAAACGACCTGTTTCTGTCGGATGTTTGAGCACTAATGCTAATTTTTATAATTTGCTTGTAATGAGCACAAAAGGTTACATTTCCGGTTGGAAATGCATTCATTCGGAATTTATGGCAACAGTACGAGATTTACTGGTTTCATTCAACTAGCATATATTTTTGTTACGGGTGCCAGCGCTCGAATTCCAGCTGGCCCCATACCTTCGGAGTGCAATGTGGCCAGAAGGCGCCGGTCCGTCCGGAAAAATCACCACGTGGACATAGGCATGTCCGAGAGCTACTAAGGCAACAACAATGGCAAGGAAATCAACGGGCACCCGCCTGCACCTTTGCATTTCACCTCAGTTATGAGATCGTATTCAGCCAGGAGATAATATGCCGGTTTGTCGAAGCATACGTAGCGGAAAACTCTCGCGTTACGTAACACCAAGAGGCCTCGATTTTGCTGCATCATGGGGCAGTCCTCAACTGCATGGTGAGAATGGGGCTGAGGACAAATCCAGAGTTCATCCATGCAGCGTCCCCGTGACCAGCGCCTGTAACAGGGGTGTCCCACCTTTGGGGCATGTGTCAAGAACATTTTCCGGTGAAGCCTAAGAATTATTTACGTGTAATGATAGCACCAGACAGAGCCAGTACAGCACCACTCAGATGTAATGGGGGTGCAAACTTTAACTATTTTCGAGTTCCAGCTTTCGCTGTGAACGCTTTGAAACAGTATCACATTTCTTCCTTTCTTGGGAGCCCCAGAGCGTATCCCGAGTTAGCGACAACTGCAGCTGTCGCGGTCGTCATCGTCATGAAATCACCGTCGTCATGACGATGGCGGAGTCTCATAGGGGTCGTTATCAGCTGTTCCGGGTTTGAGATATCGCTTTTGATCCGTGTATCTTCCCATTGCTGGCCTGCGGACTTGCGCGTTACTTCAGGCCATGTGATAGCCCCCACCAAAGCCCAAGTGCGCTTTGAAAAGGGTCACTGCGTAAAACGCCAAGGGGGGGGGGGGGAATCAAAGCCACGGTGTAGCGTTTCGTTGAATTCGCGGGATAATAGCCCCAGGTGCATATTTTTCAAAGAAGGGTTTGCATCTCACAGAGCGTACGCGTTGGAAAAACAACGCAAAATAAATATATGACTTTCATAGTTGTAGGCGTGGAGTTCAGCAAGATTTCTTCCGCAGGAGCGGATGCTTCGAATCGAAATTCTGGGACATTCGAACAGATTTCGAGAAAACTGGCATTACCGATTAAATCGGACCCAGGGCCACGTGCAACTCGCTATGCAGGTGGGCACGTTGTCGCACCCCCAACGATATCGTGCAGGGCATAAAACGGTTCCTGAATCCTCTCATTGACAGGGAGCTCATCTCCTTGCGACAGGTGGCGAAATCCCTACATATTTCTTTCTGCACCGCGCATATCATGCCTGTGATCTCCCAGCGCAAGATCATTGAGCAGAGCAACAGCCTGACTGCAACTACAGACGCTGGGTCGCACTGGGGTGTTTCTATTCAAAAGACGCCAGTCTATCTCGTTGGGCACCCACAGTTCCTAGCGTGTTATTGAAACATCGCAATCCGGTGACTTATAACGTGCTGAAACGCTTCTCGCGAAGCGGCGTAAAATGTTTTAGATCAAGCAGGGCTTATGACAAAATATAATAGCCAAACCAACATGGTAGCTGTTTCGGGATGGCACGCTATCATTCGCTATAATTGTTCTTCAGTTCACTATTCTGCCGCGAATTTTCGCCTGTCGTACATAAAGTTGGATGAAAATGTGCACGTGGTCTTCACTTATTTCCAAAACCCGCCCCTGAATGTTCGGGGCCGCAGACCCAGTCGATGGACAAGCTAGGCGCAACCATGGCACTTGTTGACATTTGCATGATATCTAGAAATGGGCTTAACACTCCTGGAGCATTCTGCCAATCTGCTTTCCAGAATGCACCACCAGAACTATACAGGTAGCAGCATTCATGTCTAGACATAACATATTGCCGTTATGTCACACACGATGCATTAGTTTGATCGGCTGTGCTTCCACCCTCTATTTTAATCGTACTTGCCACCATTGGAAGGGAATCAGGAATCATTGCAATTGCGATCACAGTGCATGTTGTATGAGGGATTGAGATCAGATTACAGTCCTTAAAAAACGATCTCTGCCAATCATCAGATGCAAAGAAGTTGTCATATTTTTGCTCCTTTTTTGTCATAATATGTCACGGTTTTGAAGTCACCGGCCGGAGGGGCCAGTATCCGCGTCTTTTCACCGGCAGTTGCATCAGAAACTTTTCGTTCAAGGTGAGTGTTCAACACTGATCCACCCTTGAGCGTAGGATAGTTCTGTGACGGTTGTCTCTTGTGTGCAGGATGTCAGACGGCGGATGGCTCCTACAAGGAGGGAGACGAGTGGAGAGACCCGGCAGAGCCCTGTCTTGTCAGTCACTGCTTCAGCGGAGTCATCACGCGCTCCAAGGTCAAGGTCAGCAGAGCGCACTGTCAGACGTGGGAGCGGGGTCGCAGCAGCTATGTGGGAGCGGAGCGCAGTGTCAAACACCGGGGCGTTGCATCTTTGACAGGGGGAGGGGAGGGGAGTATCAGTCAACCAACCAAATCCGTTCCAAAAAATAATGTTTGTCACTGTCTTTAGCCCACTCATCTTTTTTGTAAAACTACACCCCTTTTTCTCTCTCTCTTTCGCTTATTTCTGTAATCTCCTCGCTTATCATCGGCGTACAGGACATCTCCAAGGACAATTAATCATCCGATGACTGCTCACATGATGGCCTGTACAAAATCGAGCGAGTTACAATGGACTGCAGTGCGGATTAGTGGCATATGTACTTCCTTTGTATGTTTTGCTGTTCATGGAATGCTTCAGTGCCAACGGTGCCTTCATAACAGGGCAGCGGGTAGTGATAGCCGTCCAGTCTTTTGATAATTTGCTATATAGTTATTTGGCAGGGCCTGTGGTGTCTGTGCCGTCTAGTCTTTTGATAATTTGATATATAGATATTCGGCAGGGGCCTGTGGTGTCTGCTGCGTCTTTGTCTGGGGACGCAAAAGGCTGCCTCAATCTCTGCCACATTTTGCTGTTCAGCACGGTCTCTTTTGTAGCCAAAAACGGTATACTTAGCCACGACTTCCCCCAAACACGCTTCCCGCATTCTGAACCACAAGTGCATGAACGAACAACTGCATCCCCACTAGCAGCGTCCAGCAAAGAACGGCACGCTGTCACGCTAGCCACTTCACTTCATGCACCGCCCGGTCTGTTCTTTGAGCCGTTCACCCTCGCGTGACACGCCGTGCCACGCTGACCCGTCTCGTTTCTCCCGCAGTGTCCACAAGCACACCCCCTGCAGCCACCCGCTACCCGCCGGCGCCCGGGCAGTGCTGCCCGCGCTGCCGGACTGCCAGCTGTCCGGGGCAGTGGCCGGGGCGGGTCGGAACGTGACGTTGCCGGACGACCCGTGCGTGGCCTGCCGCTGCGGCAAAGACGGCACGCAGAGCTGCACGCGCCGCGGTCTGCCCCGCGCCTCTCCTGTCCGGCCTCGAAAACAGTGCGCCACCCGGGCAGTGCTGCTTACCGCTGCAAAGGTACGGCTTGTGCTTACAGCCAGAGGATAGCCTGCTCCAGCGGAGGCCGTGGGCCGTGCGCACTGCACCGTCGAGGGAGGCACTGCACCGTCGAGCGGAGGCACTGCACACTGGGCCGTGCGCACTGCACCGTCGAGGGAGGCACTGCACCGTCGAGCGGAGGCACTGCACACTGGGCCGTGCGCACTGCACCGTCGAGCGGAGGCACTGCACACTGGGCCGTGCGCACCGCACCGTCGAGCGGAGGCACTGCACACTGGGCCGT